CTTACTTTCCTGGGTAGATTTGCAAGCCCAGGAAAGGTTCAGTTATTCTCTAGCTTTTTTCTGGTGGCTAGTAGTCTCAGTTACTCAGTGCCTTGGAATGTAGCCTTGGTGTTCTGCATAAGAGGATTTCCAGAGGATGGGATAGATGCTGGTTGTTGATGAGCCTCAGTTTGCATTTCTTTGCCTCAGCTGGTAAAGGCTGAATCTTTCAGGGGTTAGGGCTGCTGCTTTTCCCCACAGCTATGGGAAGGAGCACACCGGCCACTGTTCTTTGTGGTCGCAACTCAGCAAAAACTCAGAGTGCCCTCCAAATCCCAGGTGTCCCCAGAGTTCCAGCCCAGTATGCCCTACCTCTGCCTAGCCTCCAAGTGAGTGGCTGTGGCTATTTTAGTGCTCTGTCCTGGCTCTGCACTGTGGAGTGGGTTTGGTCTTTATTCTCCAAGGGTGCTGCTCACATCTAAGACTGCTGCTGTCCCTGGGCTCCCAGCCTGCCACCCTCTCGCACCTGCACAGATCTTACCAGTGTCCCTGGTTATATGGTCCTGTCCTACTGCTTTTCTGTTGTTTTTTTCTGAGGATTTGTCTTTGTTTTAGTTGTAATTTTCGTTTGTTCCTCGGAGATCGTCTGTGTAGCTTCTATTCATTCCACCTCCGTTTTTCAATTCCTTTATGCATATCTTGTGCACAGCTGGGTAGCACAGGCTTTCCTGGTGCCCCAGCACCCTGCAGGACCTGCGGGTAACTGGATCGCACAGTCCCTTTGGGGACCCAGCTCTATGCCTATGTTATGGGCTGCTGTATCACACAGGCTTCTCTGGTGCTGCAACACCCCACATGTCCTGCGGGTAACTAATCACACAGTCCCTGCTGGGTCACACAGGCCTCTCTGGTGTTTCAGCACCCCACAGGTCCCGGGGATAACTAGACCGCACAGTCTCTGCTGGATCTTACAGGCCTCCCTTAGTATAGGGCCTCTTGAAGCTCCAAAACCAGATTAAAATTTCTCCTCTGAGCAAATTCTATGTGGCTATAACTCTCAGGATTGGTGTTACTACTTCAAGTTGAATTTTTTTTTATTGTGTTTCTACATAATTATAAAAGATCACATATCAATTGATTTAGGGAATGTCTTTGGTGGCGGGGAGAATTAGCGTACGAATTGGGAATAAAGGTAAAAAGTTTTTAAAAGAACTAAAATGAGAAGAGCTTTTATGGACTGATAATAACAAAGTGGCATGAATTAAGGAAAATAATGTTCTTAATCCTAATTTTTTAAAGGGAGGGTGGCATCTGGAAACAGCCCAAGTGTCCATCAGTAGATGAATGGATAAAAAAGCTGTGGTACATATACACAATGGAACACTATGCAGCTGTAAGAAAGAAAGATTTCATCCTTTAAGACAACATGGAGGGACCTGGAGAGCATTATGTGAAGCAAAATAAGCCAATTAAACAAAGAACAATGCCACACGATCTTACTTATTTGTGGAATATAATAAACAAAATAAGCTGATGAACAAAATAGACCCAGGGACACAGAAAGGAGCATGGTTCAGACTGACAAACCTCAGAGGATGGGGGCAGGAGGGAGTGATCAGATAAACCAAAGAACTTATATGCACATATGTGTAACCAATGGACATAGACAACAATGCTGGTGGGTGAGCGGGATGAGGAGGAGGGTGTCTAGGTGGGAAAAAGGAGAAACATCTGTAACAAAAATAAATTGATAAAAATTGCAAAAAAAATAAAAGTAAAAGGGAGAGTGGCAGTATTTTCAGGGCAGGACAAAAGTTACTAAACACAGAGCTTTTCAAGTTTTCACTGGAGTAATAGTTCTCAAAGTTTGGTCCTGGACCAGCAGCGCCAGAATCCCCTGGGAATTGCTAGGAATGCAAACGATCAGGCGCCATCCCAGACCTAATGAACCAGAAACTCTTGGGTGGAGAAGGGTAATCCTGTTTGAACAAAGCCCTACAGGTGATTCTAATGCATGATAAAGGTGGAGAACCACATTAGTAACACCTTGGAGCTTTTAAAAATACCAATGCCCAGTCTCAGTCCCAGTCTCATACCAATTACATCAGAATCTCTGGGGATGGGGCCTTGACCTCAGTGTGATTTCCAACACCCCAGAGAAAGGAGCCAATTGTCTGAGCTCCAAAGCTAAGCCTCCTTCAACAGGATGATTTGACTCTTGAACTAGTTTACTTTTTCTTAATTTTAATTTATTTTAGAGAATAGTAAGGGGGAGAGAGAGAGAGAGAGAGACAGAGACAGAGACAGAGAGAGAGAAACATCAATTCACTGATTATTGTATGTACCATGACCTGGGATTGAACCCACAACCTTGGTATATCAGGCTGATGCTCTAATCTAATCAACTGAGCTACTGGGCCAAAGCTATCTTACTTCTTTTTCTATGAAAGACTTCTTTTTTAACTGGGTTATTTGTCTTTTAATTATCAAGTGTTGTTTTTTCATTTATCTTTATTATTGAAAGTATTACAGATGTCCCTCCTTTTTTCCCCATTGACTTTCTTAAAAGAAGTGTGAAAACCACAGGCTGAGTACAATCAGTCAAGACTAATTTATTCTATTTAAATCTATTAACACATTGGTGAGTAGATCAAACCCTACAGCTTCATTTTGGAATGTGTGACAGGACCTGCAGGGCACAGTGAGAACACCTCAACAACCAAGAATCAGGAGAAAGGGCCAGGTCCTAGTGAGGGGAGGGCAAGAGAGTCCTACCACAGGAGTACAAGCAGGCCCAGACAGAGGTTTAAAGTAACAAAAAAGCAGATATGGTGTCACAGAGCTTACCCGAAGTTAGCCTTGTACAACCAAATGGAGATTAGTCAGATATAAAGATAAGTTATTTCTGAAATTATTTTGCAAAACAGTGAGGAAACTTTTCAAAATTTGCTGACATTAAATCTACAGGAAAATTTCCAAGCTCTTATCTCAGCAGGGTTGTGCCCAGTCATCACCATTAATGGTTCTTTAGAATATGAACTAGGGTAATTACTGAGAGGGAAATGACTAGTTGTTGAAGAGATGGTGTTTCCCAGGTTTCTTGTAGGGACTTGCCATCAAGAGAAAGAGACAGAAACCCAAGACTGTCCACTAGTTTCTCTAGCACCAATATTTCACGAAATTGTACTGAAAGTTAAGCAAACATTGTGAGAGGGGATTTCCATTCTTCATAAAAATGAAAAGACAGCCCTGGCCGGTTTGGCTCAGCGGTTAGAGCGACGGCCTGCGGTCCTGAGAGACCCGGGTTCGGTTCCCGCTAAGGGCGCGTACCTCGGTTGCAGTTTGTCCCCGGCCCTGGTCGGTTGTGCGGATGGCAGCCACTCGATGTGTTTCTTTCGCATCGATGTTTCTCTCTCTCTCTGTTCCTCTCTCTCCCTCCCACTTTACCTGAACAAAAAATGGAAAAATGTCCTCGGGTGAGGATTTAAAAAAAAAAAAAAAAAATGAAAAGACATGTAGAAACTGAGACTGAAGAATTTATTGATTGAATTATAAAGGGTAAGGGTTAGATATCCTAAGTTAAAAGAAATTAAAAATTCTACTTTCAATGGAAGATACAGTGATAAAGATACATGTCCCAGTATTTAAGCTATAGCATTGTATAAACAGTCATTTAAAAGATTTTGAAATATTGTCCAGACATATAAAATTCTGTAGATACCGCCCCCGGGTTGGATTCCCTGTCAAAGTCACATACCTGGGTTATAGGTCATGTGGGAGGCAACCAATTGATGTGTCTTTCCCACACAGATCTCTCTCTCTCTCTCTCCCCCTCTCCCCCTCTCCCCCTCTTCCTCCCTTTCACTCCGTCTAAAAATAACTGGAAAAAATATCTTCCGGTGAGGATTAACAAAAAAATTCTGCAGATACCAGGACATAGCATGCAAAAAATTAAAATTAAATTTAAAAAATGGAAAAAAATAGTTGGGAGGAGTTTCAAGAGTATAATTTCTTATTTTTAAAATAGCATCAAAAATGGGTTTTAGTTTTTCCCTACAATTATGGTAGACTTGTTAGAACACAGATTGCTGGGCCTACCCCCAGAGTCTCTGAGTCTGAAGGTCTGGCGTGCCCGATAGCCAATTTTAGCTTTCTAAACAAATTCTCTAGTAATGCTGATGCTACTGCTCTGGAGACCCCCGCTTTGAGAAGCACTGATTTAGAATACTGAGTAAATTCTTGCATATACAAAGATTTACAAAGACATGAATAGTAAGTCAATAAATATACATGACCTACAACCTAACCTCTGAAATAAATATTACAATAATTTCAAATATCCCTACATGTCTTTTCTGGATTCCATTCGTCTTCCAATTTCAATGCTAAGGAAAATCATTATTCTTTATGTTTCATCATTATTCTTTATAGTTTGCCAAGAACTACTGAAAATCAACAAGAAATTGGGAAAAAAAATAGGTAGCCCTGGCTAGTTTTGCTCAGCAGTTAGAGCATTGGCCCAAGGACCAAAGAGTCGCGGGTTCAATTCCAGTCAAGAGCACGTGCCTTGGTTGCAGTTCATTCCCTGGCCCTCATCGAGTAGTGAGGGAGGCAACCAATCAATGTGTCTCTCTCACATCAATGTTAAACAAAAAAAATAAACAAAAACTATGAATTGGCATTTCAGAAGAAACTCAAAGGTCAGCAAATACATAAAGACATGTTTGAACTTATTAATAATTAGATGAATACAAGTTTTTTTTAAACTATGAAATAACACTTTATATCCCTTTCATGGGCAAATTAAGAAGCTGGGTAGTGCCAACTGTGAGAGTCTTTGAGGTGCTGGGAGAGACAGGAAAGTTTGTGCCTATTGGTGGAAGAGCACATTGATGTAGCCTTCTAGAAATTTTCATATATCACATCAATACAAGTGTGCACTGTGCTCCCTGCAATTTAGCTCCTGATTGTCCATCCCTAGGAAATTTTGCATATCTAAAAGAAGATGTGTTTAGCTTTTCCTCCCTGGTTGCTTGAAGATTAACTTCTATCATGAATGACACGGTAACTATCCGGACCAGGAAGTTCATGACCAACAAACTACTTCAGCGGAAACAAATGGTCATTGATGTCCTTCACCCTGGGAAGGCAACAGTACCCAAGACTGAAATTCAGGAAAAACTAGCCAAAATGTGTAAGACCTCACCAGATATCATCTTTGTGTTTGGATTCAGAACCCATTTTGGTGGTGGCGAGACACCTGGCTTTGGCATGATTTATGATTCCTTGGATTATGCAAAGAAAAATGAACTCAAATATAGACTTGCAAGACATGGCCTCTATAAGAAAACAAAAATTAAAAAAAAGACATGGCCTCTATGAGAAGAAGACGACCTCGAGGAAACAGAGGGGGACTACAAAGGCCAATGTGGGTGTGTCAAACAGAAGGAGGAAAGATTCTTCACAATCTGTGGTGATTGTGCAGATTTTTTATGAGAGGATTAATAAACTAAACTTCTATGTGAAAAGAAACAAAAGGAGACGTGTTTAAAGATTGTGATGGAAGTCGAAAGCAATCCTGTGTCCATCACTGAGGAATGAATAAACAAAATGTGGTAGAAGCAATTACTCCTACCATCCAGCAATGAGAAGAAACAGAACCGTAGATAGATATACACATAGAAACATAGACTTAAAAATCTAGCCCTGCTTCAAAAAAAAAAAAATAGACACAAAATGGAATTTCTATCACAATACATACATATTATTTTATTTCTAAAATTAAGTTGCAGACATAATGCCTTTAACCTCTTAGTGTCTAAAACTCCAGAGTCCCCAAAACAAGAATGTGACCATTGTCTGGCATAACTGCAGTACAGTAATCAAAATCAGGAAATTAGCACTGATACAATATTAGCTAATCCACATTCATATTTCTCCAATAGTTTCTATAATGTTGTTTATAACAAAAGATAATCTTGGGTCATAGATTGAATGCAGTTGTCAAGTCTTGTCATGTTCGCTTGAATCTTGACAGTTCAGTCATTCCTAATCTTTAATGACCGTGACATTTCTAATGAATACAAGCAATTGTTTTTAGGCTGTAGCTCAGTTTGGGTTGTCTAAAGTTTTCTTTTGATTAGATTTGGGTTATGTTTATTTGGCAGGAATATCCCTGAAGTAATGTTTTTTCTTCTCTGTGCATCCTATTAGGAGGTGCTTGATGTCTGTTTTTTCCATTACTGATGATATTAACTTTGCTCATTTTGTTAAGGTGGTTTCTTCTCTAAAGTAATTACTTTTTCCTTTGATATTAGCAAGTGTCTCTGAGAAGATACATTGGGATTATATAGATATCCTATTACACATCACACAAACATTCTTACTGGTTTTAGCATCCATTCATGATTCTCTCCTGCATTATTACTATGATGGTTGCCAAATGGTGACTTTCTAATTCCATTTCTTCTACATGTCCTAATTGGCATTCAACCACAAGAAAGATCTTTTCTATTTATTTGTTTATTTTTTCTTTATTGATTTTAGAGAGAGAGGAAGGGAGAGGGAGAAAGAGATAGAAACATTAATGAGACAGAACATTGATTGGTTGCCTCCTGCATGCCCCCGACTGGGGATTTGGCCCACAACCTGGGCATGTGCCCTGACCGAGAATCGAACTGGTGACTTCTTGATGCATGGGCCCACAATCAACCACTGAGCCACACTGACCGAGCAAGAAAGATCTTTCAAATGAAAAATTTTAGCTCTGCCAGTGTGGCTCAGTGAATTGAGCATCATCCCATGGACTGAGAGGTCCCAGTTCTATTCCCGGTCAGGGCACATGCCCAGGTTTCAGGCTTAATCCCCAGTGGGGAGCTGTGTAGGAGGATCGTTGTTTCTCTCTCACATCAATGTTTCTCTCTTCCTTCCTCTCTCTCTAAAACGTCAATTAAAAAACTATTAAAAACCCTGGTTGGGCTCTGGCCAGTTTTCTCAGTGATTAGAGCTTTAGCCTGTGGACCCAAGAGTCTGGGTTCAATTCCAGTTAAGGGCATGTACCTTGGTTGCAGTTGGGTCCCCAACCCTGGTTGGAGTCATGCGGGATGCAACCAATCAATGTGTCTCTCTCACATCGATGTTTCTCTTTCTCTCTGTCCCACTCTGTGAAAATAAATGGAAAATATCCTCAGGTGAGGATTTAAAAAAAAAAAAAAAAGAGCTCTGGCCAGTTTGGCTCAGCAGTTAGAGCATCAGCAGGTGAGAGTCTGGGTTCAATTCTGGTCAAGGACACGTACCTCAGTTGCAGGTTCAATCCCCGGCCCTGGTAGGGGTGCATGCAGGAAGCAACCAGTCGATGTGTCTCTCACACAGCAATGTTTCTCTCCTTTCCCTCCCTCCCTCCCACTCTCTCGGAGGATAAATGGAAAAATATCCTCGGGTGAGAATTAAAAAATAATAAACATTTTTTCAAAATTAAACATTTTAAATCTAAACCAATATCCCAGATTTCCTGTGCTTTGTATTTGTAACTCTCCTTTTCTGACAGTGAGTAACCCGATTCCATTATACAAAATGTATTTACTTATTTGCTTAATTCAGGAATATTCAGAAAGCAGTATCAGAGTTCTAACCCATACTTCTGGGATAATCAAGCATTCTAACTATAGCCTAATATTTATTTAGAGTTTTTTGTCTTTTAGAAGCATTCTTTATTTTTAAAATCCTAACCCAAGGATATTTTTGCATTTATTTTCAGACAGAGTGGGAGGGAGAGAGAGAGAAACATCAGCGTAAGACACATTGACTGGTTGTCTCCCACACGACCCCCACCAGGGCTGGGGACCAAACCACAACCAAGGTGCATGCCTTTAACCAGAATCAAATCCTAGACTCTTTGGTCTGAGGGTCAAGGCTCCAACCACTAAGCCGGCTAGGATGAGAAGCATTCTTGAATATGGAATGACAGGTAAAGACAGTAAGCTTCCTGGACCAGGAGGTAATCCAATATAACCCTATTTTCCCTGCTATCACTGCTATCACAAGTTCCATATATCTAATTAACTTTTTTCTTTCCTTGCCATTTTTATTGATTTATTTTTGTTACAGATGTTTCTCCTCCCCCCCCCCAGACACCCTCCTCCCGATTCTGCCGCCCTGCACCCCACATTGTTGTCTAGGTCCATTGGTTACGCATACATGCATATAAGCTCTTTGGATGCATCCCCCACCCTCCTCCTCTGAGGTTTATCAGTCTGAACTGCACTCCTTTCCATGTCTGTGGGTCTATTTTGTTCACCAGCTTATTTTGTCTGTTATATTCCACAAATAAGTGAGATCATGTGGTATTTGTCTTTCTCTGACTGGCTTATTTTACTTAGCATAATGCTCTCCAGGTCCCTCCATGTCTCTCAAAGGATAAGAGATATCTCTGTTTTATAGCTACATAGTGTTTTCTAATTGGCTCTTGATAATGATTTGTTTAATAAGAGGTCCGAGTAGTTTTTTTAGGACTCCTAAGCATTATGGATTGGAATATGACATTATTCGGGAGGCTATTGAAAGAAATGAATGTTTTTAAAATTTGGGTATTAAAATTGGTAGTAGTTGATTTTCACTTATTTTCCATCAAAAAACTGTACTTGAGCACTCTCCTTTCATAAGCACCGCACAGGCTTTGCCCTACTCAGATGATGAGATTAATCACATTTGGAGAGTACCCTTCAGGAATCTACAGTCTAATTAGTGGGAGTGGTGATCCGACATAAAGAACCAGATTTCTTTATGCTACAGCTGTGTCCAAATTTATTTCCTGCCCTCCCTTCTTGCTCCTTCTAATACTATTTTGAAACACATAAATTTGACTTAAGGTGTTCTTGCTTAAAGCCATTTAACGCTCCCCATTCTCTCAGGGTGGTTTTTATATTCTTTAACCTAGAATACAAATTCTTTCTCCATCAGGGACTTGTTTACCTCACCAAGCTTTCCCTACTTCTGACCTGTACACCTCCCCGTTTCCTACACCCACTTCTCTTCCAGAGCTCAGGCTTGAAGTCATGATCTCCTCCTGAAATCCCTCTTTGCATCCTCAGTCTCAGATTCTCCTATTTTCCCTTGGCACTCACTCTTTGCCCTCTTGCGGCACTTTCAGGGCACAAACTGAGCACTTTGGAAGTCTTTGCTGCGTAGCAGTGTTAATATAGCCTCGTGCTGTTCTCCACAGATGGACTCTCAGCGTCCTTGTTCATCTCCATCATAATCTGTGAGCTCCAGGGAGCCTGAGACCATGTCTCATTCGGCCTCAGGTCCCTGACACCCAGCACAGCCCATGGCACCTGGTAGGAATTCAGTAAAGGTTTATTGAATTAATAGAAACACACCCTTGATTTAAATATTTTTAACAGGGACAAAATGCTGACAAGATTTAAAAGCTTAAAAAAAAAAGGTTTAAATTGGGAAAGAGGAACCACACAGAACCTACAGTGACTGCTTTTGATCAGTATAATAGATTTAAAACCAAGAGCATTATGGATCCATTCCTGGATTGCTATTAATAGAGGTGCGGATGAAAAGAGATAATCCAATCAACCTGAAGGAAAGGTTTACCACCTCCCAGGTGTATAAAAGGAGTTGAGAGAGGCTTGGGTGACCCATTTGGAACTTTCTTTCCTGAGAGAGCCAAACACGCCAGGAAAATGCAGCCAGAGGGACGGTGAGTACACTGTCCTAACCTGTGTGGTAAAGGGCACTCAAGTTGAGCTCCTGGGCCTTAGAAACTGTTGACAATGTTTGTCTTAGCAGAGTGAGACCTGGCCTGCAGGCAGGGGTGGCAGGGTTGTTTCTAAATGTTTCTGTAATGTTTGATTTTTAAAACTGTAGGCAAGGTTTCGTCTTCCATTAAAAAGTTTCAATTTGTTAAGAAATAATCTGGATCCTTCATCTCCAGATTATACGTGTGATCGTATCAGGTCAGTCAGTAAGGCAAATATTTGACATCAGACCTATTCCAGACAATTGGGGGAAATTTGGTTACAAGTTTATATTTGGATGGCCAATGGATTATCATTTTGAAATGAGATCCATTAAGAGCTATGCAATGTAATTTATGTAATAGCTGGTCACTGGAAAGTTTAAAAATCAGTATGTTTATAATTTAAAAAATCAGTGAATCCAGGAATTGAAAGGAGAAACATTTTGTTTTTTCAATAATCTGAAATGATTATTGCTTTTGGAATCTAATGTACTTATTGGTCATAATTACCTAAGCCTTTTTTTAAAATGTTGATAGGGCTTTTCTCATATATGAAAGTATTATAAGTCACTGTCAATAATTTGGAAGATGAAGAAAAGTATAAAATAGAAATTGAAATGGCCATACTCTATAC